CCCACTATTCATGCCTTCTTTTTTTTTTAAAAAAGGGCCATTTTTGGGAGGTTTGCAGAGTGCAAAAAGTTTTTTTTTCCTTTTGGAAAGCTCTTTAACTGATCGATAAGAATTAGATTGCTCAAGTGCTGTGCCAGCAGAAACAAAGTCTAAGGTGCTGCAGATTGTCAGCGATTTCCTTCTCCAGCACATGGATAAATACACCTGGAAACATCTACCTACCACCTACTCTCTCTCTCCCTACCTACTGTATTTCTCTCTCTCTCTCCCTTTATCTATCTACCTACCTACCTAACTACTTTCTCTCTCCCCCTACCTACCTACTGTATTTCTCTTTCTCTCCCTCTCTATCCCTCTTTCTACCTACCTACTTTTTTTAAAAAAATTGCCTCTTCAAAACCTTGGTACGTCTTATACTCCGAAAAATATGGTACATCTACCCACACACAAATTAAATTGCATTAATCCCTGGTTTATTAGAATTCGATTCAGATCTATACTGTACAATTGTTTAACTAAATTTAAATTTAGTTCTAAAACTAAATCTAAATTAACTAATCTAAATTGTTACTATCGCCACATCTGGTGGTGCCAGATATGGGTATAGTAAAAGTTTAGACCAGGGGTGTCAAGCTTGCAGCCTGTGGGCTGGATGCATCACATGCTGGCCACCCCCACCCCCGATTTAGCAAAGGGAGAAAAAGTTGTGATACATCATGTGATAACAATGTGACACCGTGGGTTTGACACCCCTGATTTAGATAGTTTACAAATGTTACAAATTTATAAATGAGCAGATTATTAAACACTCTTATAGCTGTTTTACTAGCTCTAGAATCAGAGGCAGCATATCTTAAATGTCAGATGCAAGATTTTAAAACTGTTGTTACACTGTTATTAAATTTCAATTTTATATGGAATGAAGTGAAGGGAAAAAGAATTTAATATTTAATAGCTACATGAAAAAAATGAACATGCTTTTTTGCCAAGGCAGCAATTTAACAGACTTTCATATTGTCTGAAAATAAGATAAACAGAATGTTGAATGGCACATCTGAAATTACAGTGAAACCCAACATAAACTTGAATAAGCTTGCAGTGAAGGAAGTAACTTTAGTGGAAGCTATAGCCGCGTAATTCTACACCAGTTCTTACTCTATGCATGGCCTTCTTTCCCAAGAGAGTTTAAAGCCAGGAAAACACAACTGTAGGTATAGACTAATATTCAACTACCTAACAAATATTAAATATTCATTGCCTGGTCCTGAGGTAAAATTGGAATAATAGTTATAAATAGGCATTAATAAGAAAACCACTCTACATTAGAAAATCAACAGCTGTTCAAATCTATCAGATCCCAGATTTGTCTTTAATGCAAGGTTTAAAATTTTAACTTAGTGTGCACACCTATGAAAATAATTTTCATCTACTATACATAATGTAAAAATGCATCCCTTATGGCTCTGATTTTGGAATTATACTTTGATTTTATATTACTTTAGAAGAAGCTATCATTATCTGTATTAAAGGCAAGAAGGAAGAATCATTTACTGAAAAAAACAAATATAAGCAAATTATTTCTGAGAGCTCTCTCTCTTTCAGCCAAAACTGATGTCATCCAGCAAAAAGGAACCCTGTGTCCTTTGTTTTTGGAAACAATTTGTATTCAGGGAGAAAATATGTGTTATCACCAAGTTTGCAGACTGTGCCTTTGACATACAGACTCTATTTTCAGTAAGAAGAAGAAGATGACCCATCACCTGCATCTCCCCTTTTTCGTCAGGTTTTGCGGGCTTTGTGGCTTCAGTTGCAGAATTTTTCAGGCTCTCTTTACTACAGTGGAGGAGGACTTCAGCAACATAGAGGGGATCCAGTTCACCAGAGTTAACCTGCGGGATAAGTAAAAGATCAGAAAAAGCATGGAGCTGCTCTTCAATACTAAGTAAATACAAAATCATTAGGCTCCCTGTAACATAGTGGTTCTTTAGGAGGGTAAAAAGTAACACATCCTACATTAGGGGTGTCAAACTTGAGCATCATGTCGCCATCACGTATCACAATGTTTTCCCCTTTGCAGAGCTGGGGTGGGCGTGGCCTGTGTGTGACAAATTCCGGCCTGCAGGCTGCCAGTTTGACACCCCTGTCCTACATGAACAATATAAACATACAATACAGTACAATACAATACAATAGCAGAGTTGGAAGGGATCTTGGAGGTCTTCTAATCCAACTCCCTGCCTGGGCAGGAAACCTTATACCGTTTCAGACAAATCTGCTAATTTGATGAGTTCCCCATTTATTCCCTCATTCAAATCATTGATGAAGATGTTGAAGAGTACTGGCCAGAAACAGAGCCTTGGGGTACTCCAGTGCATACTCCCCTCCATGTAGATGTAGTTCCATTGAGGACTACACGTTGAGTGCGGTTGGTCAGCCAGTTACGAATCCATCTAGTGGTGATGCTATCTAACCCACATTCTTCTACTTTATCTAGCAGTAGGTTATGGTCTACCTTATCAAATGCTTACTGAAGTCCAAGTAAACTATATCAACGGCATTCCTCTACATATTGAATTTCCCTTTAAAATGAAACCGTTTTTTGCACAATTACAAATGTTTATGTAAAATTTCACTGGTTTCAGCAAAGGGCAGGAGCTTGATTTTTAAGATATATATATGGATTTGCTCTCTAAAAATCAAAGAGTAAGAATTCTTGGCTTCTTAAAAATCTTTTCTATAATTCATAGTTGTTTGGACTATACAACATGTGATATTTCTCCTTCCATCATTCTTCTAGTAAAAGGGAGGATTTATCCAAAGTAGGAAGGAAACTAAGACTTACTCTTAAGTTATATCCAGAATTTGATGAAAGATGTGCTATTTCCAATTAATAATAATGTCCCTATTAAATTTGCAATTGAAACAATTATCATATAGTTTAATTAGATTTTTAATAACCAGTGAGAGTCAGCAGCAAAATGTATCCTTAATTTTACAGAACGTAGTGCCCTAGAACACATTCCTAGCCTAGGAATTGTTTCCATATTGTAACTGAACTATGCTTACATATTTTTCTCTTTGTTATTCCAAGTTTCCACATTTCTATAACTGAATTTTGTCCTAAAATAACTTTTGTTGCTACTGTTAGCTGCGAGTCAGGAATAAATTTTTGTATATCTAAATATCAGATACCCGATTAGTCAAGATGGGAAACAGAATGCTCAACTAGATAAGATTTTGGACTGATCCAGGAGAGATCTTATGTCTTCATAAATAATTAGGAAATTTGTCATAAAACAGTATTTTTCTACTATACCATTAACACACAATTCTTGCCAGTTGGATAAAAGAGCACTAAAGATACTAAGAGCCTTAACTGAACAAAGTGCTTTTAAGATAAAATTCTTCAATTTGTAAGGAACCACTAATTCTTTGTGTTAGTATATATTTTAATAATAGCCAAATTAGATGATAGGATCAAAATGTATCTCCAAATAGCAAGTTTTATGACAATCATGGCCTACTAAGATTAAAAGATTTGAATAAGAAAGCAGAGTACTTAAAAAAAGACTTTTGGAAGACACTGTACAGATTTCATATTTTATCATATGTTTCTATGAAATGTCCAGATATAACCAGAAACATATGTTTTGCTTTATTGTTATATTACCAAATAATCAAAGTATTTATTCATAAAAATAGCTATGAATGAGACCATCCTATTCCATTCAAGATACATATAGCAGCTGTTTTAATTTTGATTTCAAAACCTGTGTGTTTACTCATGTTATCTTGAACTGCATTCAAAACGCAGTCCATATGTGCAAAAGCAGCTACACGCCAACTATTTTTAATTGCTGTTTACCCAAAACTTGGACCAGGCTAACATATGCATCAAATACTCTATGGAAACATGAAGAAGCCAGTATTGGATCACACCATTGCTGTCTGTTGCATTCTCAATGGGAAGCAAAGTACGGTAAGTCATTTAAAATACCCCCAAGGAGCCTATCGCTTTCTATTACAATAGATGCTGTGCATAGGCTAAAAGCAAAAGGCAAAAAAAGAGAAGGATTTGTAGTACTTTTAATAGTTCTTTGCATAGTCAGAGGTACTCTTCGTAAGTACCATCCAAAACAGCTAATGTGAATAGAGTTGTAACCTTATATAATCAGCTAACTGAACTGTTAGAAATTTGTGTTAGGGTTATAAATACTCCATTAATAAAATAAGATGCAGTTAGGGATCTGTATCATATTTTACATTCAGACAATTCCTTGCATAGGACAGCCAATTCAAGCAGCCTGTTTCCAGCCCAAAGCACATGTCTTCCACTCAGATACAGTACATGTATGTTTAGTTTGGGCATGGACCCAGGACATGCATATTGTGGTCACTGAGACAGGAAGGAAAAACAACAAATGTGGTGGCAGGAAAGAAAAGACAAGGGGAAACAAGATGCTGGGATGGGTAGGAAGGTATAAGCAAATTAGAGGATGATGTGCTTGAATTTAAATGAAACAGGAAAAGGTAAGAAAACGCTGGGAAGCTGAAGCACAGGTGGGTGGCCCATCTGGGTTATGCCATGCTTCAATGCAAGTACAGCAAGAAAGGAAAGGAAGATCAATGAGTGGCCTGGTGCAATGACTATGTGGAGAAGAGGAAAGGGGTGAAGCCCCGGAGTCCTTCTTGCCCTATCTGCTCCTGATAATTTGCCTGGAATTTGTTTCAGTCAAACCTCAGAACCATTAAGAGACTATATTGCTTTCCATTTGGTCATACGGTGACCTTCCCAAAACAGGTCGAACCTACCTTCACAATCATACAATGTTTGATCCCTTCTGTGTATACCCCTTAAAGCAGGGGTGCAAAACACAAGGCCCGCGGGCTGGATGTGGCCTGTGGGGTCATCCTGGAAAATATAAGGGGCCAGCCTGTGTTGCTTCAGTTCGGCCTACCCAATACGAAGAGGAAACATGCCAGCAGTTTGGGGATTAGCATCAAGCTGGCCACGCCCACCCAGATCAACCACAGCACTGATGCGCCCCTCAATGAAATTGAGTTTGACACCCCTGATCTAGAGGCATGTAAATGAGGGACTTCACTTTCATATTTCAAACTGTGTGTCTGAATAAATCTACTCATATAGTAATATGATTTTCCTCAGGGAATCAACTGAATATAACATAGTCAATTTTTTTACTGCAATTATTACCTGATAATTAGAAATACCAAGAGCCAGGATCAAGAAATTATTGAAGATAATTTTTCTTATTGAAGAAAAATATATAGTTGTAATGCACATAGGAGTTTGTTCTAATCAATTGAGTGGCACTTGCTTGCTGGTGAAGATGCAGGATTGGGCTGTCAACTGAATATGGCTTCTGCAAGAAATTAGCCTTTACAGTTCCTAATAAAAATGAGCATCTCCTTATGAACTAATGTCTGGTTTTATATTTTTTCTGGTCAGGGATATATTTATTCAAGATTAAGGAAAATCATTTTATCTTACCTTCACATTGGATTTCTTGGAAAAATTAACCACCACTCCCCAACCAAAGTCATCATCTTCATTTTTCACCTAAGAACATTCGGATATTAAACTTGTATATTATTTTGTATAAGGGAATGCTTTTTATAAAGTAGTTAAATAAAATAATGCTTACAAAAAAGAGAATTAGAAAAGGTATCAGGGGTATTTTGTGTTGTGAAAGTAAAATATGAAATAAAAAATATAATGAAAACAGTAAGAGTAACAACAAAACTTTAAAACAATTTAAATTTAAGAGTTGTTTCTTCAAGCATATCTAATAGTATGGAGAGTGTGAGATGTTCCTATATTAGAGAATGCAGGGACCCAATTTGTGTGATCTTAGGTATGATGAGAAAATGAGATGAGAAGTCACTTTAGAGCCAGAGGACCTAGATGACTTTGGGTCATTGTCCTTCTGAAGCACAAATATACTTCTCAGTATCTTTTCAGTTGATGCTCTGGATTACATCCTCCCCCTTAAATTTCCAGTCATAATTTATAAACAATATTAAAAAGTACTGGTTTTTATTATCAGAAGATGACTAGTTAAACTGAAATACATCAAACCATCTATTAGAAAACTGAAAACAAATAAAACAAATATCATATTCTCCAGAACAGCCTAGTAAAATATTCAAAGCATTAAAATATTATTATATCAGAAAAATGTCTTCACAAATACTAATATTAGACGTTATTCAATTACTGATCTTAATAGAAATGGGTCTCTGTTGTGGCCCAGCAGGAGCCGTTGGAGCTGCCAACAGACTCCGACAGCGAGCGGCCCTATGAGTCGGCCCTGGAGGATGTGGAGGACCCTGGACAGGGTTCTGACTCCGAACAGGGCACAGAGAGACTGGTTGGCCACC